ATGTCACATTATGTTTGGCACATGTCTGTCTTTGAGTATGTCACTGTATGTTCGGCACATGTCTGTCTCTGGATATGTCACTGTATATTTGGCACATGTCTGTCTTTGGCTATATAACTGTATGTTCGGCACATGCCTGTCTCTGAGTATGTCAGTGTATGTTCGGCACATGTCTGTCTCTGGGTATGTCACTGTATGTTCGGCACATGTTTGTCTTTGGGTATGTCACTGTATGTTCGGCACGTCTGTCTCTGGGTATATCACTGTATGTTCGGCCCGTATCTGCCTCTGGGTATGTCACTGTATGTTCGGCTCATGTCTGTCTCTGGGTATGTCACTGTATATTCGGCACGTCTGTCTCTGTGTATGTCACTGTATATTCGGCACGTCTGTCTCTAGGTATGTCACTGTATGTTCGTCACATGTCTGTCTCTGGATATGTCACTGTATGTTCGGCACATGTCTGTCTCTGGGTATGTCACTGTATGTTCGGCACATGTCTGTCTCTGGGTATGTCACTTTATGTTCGGCACGTCTGTCTCTGGGTATGTCACTGTATGTTCGTCACATGTCTGACTCTGGATATGTCACTGTATATTCGGCACATGTCTGTCTCTGGGTATGTCACTGTATGTTCGGCACATGTCTGTCTCTGGGTATGTCACTGTATGTTCGGCACATGTCTGTCTCTGGGTATGTCACTGTATGTTCGGCACATGTCTGTCTCTGGGTATGTCACTGTATATTTGTGTGTGTGTGTGTGTGTGTGTGTGTGTGTGCTCGCGCGCGCGTGTGTGTGCGTATCTGTTTGTCTGCGTGCTCGATTTTTTTCACCACCACCTCTCGCTACTGTCCCTACTCATCCTCATCCTACTACTATTGATACTGCTGCTGTTACATATACTGTTAGTGATGCTTCTACCACCTCCACTACTGCCGCTTCTGTTGCTGCGACTACTACTACAACTTCTAATACTGCTGTTGGTGATGTTTCTATCACCACACTACTACAACTACCGCTGATGCTGTGTCACTACTTCAATCACTACCCACACACAAAAAAAAAAAGTTAATGCTGCCGTGCTACTACTGCTGTTACTACCACTCCTACTACTACTCATTTTGCTGTTACATTGCACTGAGGAATGTTTTTACCACCACTTTGCTACGATTACTTCTTATTCTGTGTCACTACTTCAGTCACCAACCCCCTCCCCCACCTCCTTAACAAATAAATAACAGTTACTGCTGCCGTGCTGCTGCTGCTGTAAATACTCCTACCACTACTCATTTTGCTGTTACATTGCAATGAGTGATGTTTCTACCACCACTTTGCTACGATTATTTCTGATGCTGATGTCACTACTACCACCACCAGTTACTGTTGCCATTCTACTACTGTTACCACCGTTACTAATAATGTTGTTGCTTGTTCTTGTCTCTCATTTCTTTCCTACCCACCGCAGCCACCGTGATTCCTGTTGCCTCGGTGATTTAGAAACACGATGTGTGGTAGAGGAGCACCTGTGATCCGACTGTTTAAAATGTTAAACTCGAACAGAAGAACCGCCGCTCTTTCACCCACTCATCCAGTACACCGACTGTCTAACAGAGTACTCGCACATGCCACCAGGAGGCCTGGCTTCATTGCCACGGTTATAGTGAACCCACCGGAATGGAGTCCTTAGAGGGTTAGAGATCTGACCCCATGATACGCTGTTATTCTTGAAACTCAGTGACAGTTCGCAGCAAATAGTTCCATTAAGATGTAGCTGCCGATAAACTTTATTTTTATTTTAAGGTCCCCCTAATCGCATTATATTTTGACTTTTTCTATTGGTGTCTGAGCTATCGTGTAACACCTTCACTTTTCTTTTTTAAATGTGGTCAAAGCACGCTGAAGAAATCTGGCCTTCCCAGAGCTTACGCATTGAGTCCCTTTACCTTGCTGATCTACTTTTCGTTCGGTTTTTTTATCTTTCCGTTAGACATAATGCGTTCTTGTTTGCACAGATGAGGAACGCAAAATATTAGTCAGTTTTACAGAATACAGTACAGAAGAAGGTACAGCTCCTAGCTTTAACAACAACAACAACAACAAAACGCAAACACATACACGCACGGCATGCAGTCGAACCCACAACAGTCTAAGGGACTCACAACCAATCGGTCAAGAAAGATTGACCGCTCATGCGTCCTCAGATCGCAGTAGTTTACCGGAAGGGGCTGTGTGAAAGTGGTCGTACGTTCTTACCTGAATAGGACTACAGATATGGCTGTTACGCTTGCCCTTATTTCAATGTCCTTATAAGTTAAACAGGGTTTCTGAGGTCTGCATTGTTGGTCTGACATCCAGATTGAGATTGCTAAATCCCGCGATGTTATGGTACACATTTAGTAGCAACCCGAGGGAACACACTGATAGTTCGAATGATCGAAGTGGTCAGGCAGTTGGCCTTGCCCTCCGAAGGCCATGGAGCTTTTTCATGGACTGCACCGCTCGGTTCACAGCTGTCGTTTGTAGAGCCCTTAGGGATCGTTTCTGTAGCTACTTTTTTTTCTGTGAAAAAAGGCAGTCATATGGGATAAAACCCGAAGCAGTGAAGTCGATCCTCTACTAGATTTTACCTTTGTATACTGTATTTGACTTTTCACCTTGTAAGTTCCATGACCTCATTTTGGAGAACAAAGAATGTACCCACTGCTTCCTAACAAGCATGTCGTAGGAGGCAGCTAATTATTGGTATTTTCCTGTAGAATCGGAGTGCATCGGCTTGAGAGGCAAAAAACCGACAGTCGACATACAAATAAGCCAGATCTTTGAAACAAATACACACGCAAAACTCCAGATTCTGTACCAACGCCAGTGTCCAAGAGTGGACGAACAGTCAGATTTTTCCGCTGGAGTTGACAACCGGTGAAGAAAAAAAAATTATGTAACTTGGTTTCAATCAGTATAGACACCACAAGTGAAGTGCTCGGCTGCTCAAGATAAAGGGGACACAGTTGTAATTCTACCACTCCTGGTTGCCTCATTTACATTATGGTACGGTGCTTCTGGTATCTGGTAATCTTAGTTTCAGCTTCATAGCAAACGGGTCACCCCCATAGTTGTTCCGCTCCTGTGCCAACGAAAACACACAAAATGTTTATCACAGTTCTAATGAAATCCGCAGCTCACAGTGTTACGCCATGCACTCAGCTCAGAAGCTGGGCAACGAAACAATATCCTTCCAGTGGTCTGCGAACTCCCTGCGATAGATATGAATAAATTTTCTAATCTCTTAAGAGTGTTCGAAATGAGGACTGTGTCACCTGCATAGCGAAGTTCCGGAATAGTTTTGCCACCAATTATGCAAATTAATATTTATAAATAATAAGTTTGTCAGTGTGACTATCACAAAGTATGCAGTGTGGCAGACCACGACAACTGGAGCCGTCGTGGGCAGACCGTCGAAAATAGGCGATATCTTCGCTGATTAGGAACATGAATAGATTACAAGCGAGACAAAGCAAGAGGGGTTGCTATTGTTGTCGTTGATGGATTAATATCTCAAAGATGAGAATCAGACCTCGTTCAACTGTATAGCCATACCACCATCATCATCAGTCAGCGGGTCCTCTCCCAAACGCACGCTCGTCACTGTACATCTGAAAGTCTTCTTTTTTTCCTTCTTGTCAGTTCTCCAGCCCTATGTGCTTTTATAGCAGTGTCTGCTGCTTTCCGTGTTTGCGGAGGTCTGCCTCTGCTTCTTGTTCAAGCATTGCACCCTGCTTCACCGTTCTCTCCCTGCTTCCATAACGTTTACCATTGACATAATGCCATTTATTCGGGCCAGGATGCTGTTTATGAGCCAGTTCAGTGTTCAGATCTTGTGAGATGTCGGTTTTTTTCTTCTCCTTGATACATGGTATTATTAAAAATTCTCTGTTGCATTTCATTTCAAAAACATATAGCCATACAGTTCAGTTATATTCTTCTTCTTCTGCCATCTATCCCCCAACGGGGCATAGGCCCTCAACCAAGTCACGCCAGTCGTTTTGTCCTTCGCTCTTGCATGCAGCTCTGCCCATGTCCTGTCCATCTTTTTAACGTCACCCTCTAGCTCACTTCTCCGTGTGTTGTTCGGTGTACACTGTAAGTAAAGGTAAAGGACCCTTTGCCTTGCCTTTAAACGTATTGGGCATAGAGGGTTAGACCTATATTTTATAGACCAATCGGCTCTTGGTGTCAGATGTGGTCAGCATCACCACGACTGCCTTTACTTCCCAGGTTTCAAGGGAGTCAAGGTAATTTTTGAAAAAAAGTCGGGCCCCATTCAGAAACCAAACCCAGGGCCCTTCCGATCCGCAGGCTGGCGTCTAGCCGTCACACCACGGCGACGCCCTTGGTGTACACTGGGGTACCACGAAACGGTGACGAAGTAACATGTAGTCCAGTGTGCGGGAGTCTTATTGATCTAGCTTACTGGCTGTCTACCAAACAACTCGTTATAGGTTTATCGATTGCTTCATACAGATATGGAATACGTTAGGATCGCAGCCGAGGAGCAAGATGAGGTTTGAAAGTAGCAGCGCGTCCCAGGAACAGAGCCTGGCCGAACGGTTACGATCGCCGACCCCCTAGTGCAGGAGACCCAGAATGGGGCCTTATATAAGGGAATGGTTGTTTTTCTGTCCCCACTCTGTTAATGGCAAACACTGAAGAAGAAACAAAGCAAAAGAATTACAATAGTTTATTACATGGATCTCCCAGACTCTTGATTCTGAATCCAATTGCTCTCTCTCTCTCTCTCTTCCTCCTCCCCGCTGTGTTCTGACTGTCCTCCGTCTTTATGCCTATCTATCTGATTGCCTATTTGTATCTTCCCCTTCTCTCCCTCAGACTGCCATTTATGAGATTCTTGACCCCCCCCCCCCCCAACCAAAGACTTCCCCCCCTTTTTCCATTTCGACTTCAAAAAGACAAATACCACAGAGACTCTCTTTCCACATTTCAGAAAGGAAACAAAGTCTACGAGATAGAGGAGAGCGGCGCGGAGGGTGAGAAATCCTACAGCAAGGTACTCTACATAGAGAATGCCCAATGGTTCAACACGGGATTCTATACTTGTACCTACAACAAGGATTCTGGCATGGCTGGATCGCTTCCCTTTGTCAGGAAGACAGAGAACAGCGAGGATGCGTCATCGTCTCAGATTTTCATATTTGTTAGAGGTTTGTTACTTTCAATTGTTCGAAGTTGTTTGCTGTATTAAATTGTTAGTAGTTGTTGTTGGTTTGTTCAGTGTTTAAAAATTGTTGTTGGTAATTGGAAACTGTATTTGGTTATGTTCAGTGGTTAAAAGTTATTGTCTCTTGTGTTCAGTTGTTGGAATTTGTTATTGATAATGTTCAGTTATTGTTGATTGTTTTTAGTTGTTGGAAGTTGTTGATTATATTTAGTTGGAAGTTGTTTTTGATTATATTCAGTTGTTGGAAGTTGTTGATTATTTTCAGTTGTTGGAAGTTGTTGATTATATTCCTTTGTTGGAAGTTGTTGATTACTTTTAGTTGTTTGAAGTTATTGTTGATTATGTTCAGTTGTTGGAAGTTTTTGATTTTGTTCCGTAGACTTTTAGGAAAATTTTATTTGTTGTGTTCAGTTTTTGAAAGTTGTTGTCAGTTTTGTGTGTGCGCGCGCTCGCGTGTGCGGTCGGGGGTTGGGAGGGGAGGGGTTCAGTAGTTAGAGGTTGTTGATTGTTAGTTCTCACAACTAATTATTTTGCCAGAGCCTGTTGTCAGTTGTAAGAACTGTTTACTGATTGTAATTGCTCTATGTTAGTTAAATGAACTGTTTGTAGTTGCAACAACTGCTAATTTTATCAACTGTTTGGTAGTTGTAACATCTATTTGCTGTTCATAACAACTCTTGGTTATTTATAAGAATTGTTTGTTGTTGAAAATCTGTTTGTTAGTTGTAGGAACTGTTAGTTGTGGAGACTGTTTGTTAGCTATGGGAACTGTTTGTTAGCTATGGGAACTGTTTGTTATCTATGGGAACTGTTTGTTAGCTATGGGAGCTGTTTGTTAGTTCTGGGAGCTATTTGTTAGCTATAAGAACTGTTTGTTACTTGTGGGAACTGTTTGTTAGCTATGGGATATGTTTGTTAGTTGTGGGCGCTGTTTGTTAGCTATGGGAACTGTTTGTTAGTTGTGGGAGCTGTTTGTTAGCTATAGGAACTGTTTGTTAGTTGTGGGAACTGTTTGTTAGCTATGGGAACTGTTTGTTAGTTGTGGGAACTGTTTATTAGCTATGGGAACTGTTTGTTTGTTGTGGGAGCTGTTTGTTAGCTATGGGATATGTTTGTTAGTTGTGGGAGCTGTTTGTTAGCTATGGGATATGTTTGTTAGTTGTGGGAGCTGTTTGTTAGCTATGGGAACTGTTTGTTAGCTATAGGAACTGTTTGTTAGTTGTGGGAGCTGTTTGTTAGACATGGGATATGTTTGTTAGTTGTGGGAGCTGTTTGTTAGTTATGGGATATGTTTGTTAGTTTTGGGAGCTGTTTGTTAGCTATGTGATATGTTTGTTAGTTGTCGGAGCTGTTTGTTAGCTATGGGAACTGTTTGTTAGCTATGGGAACTGTTTGTTAGTTGTGGGAACTGTTTGTTAGCTATGGGAACTGTTTGTTAGTTGTGGGAGCTGTTTGTTAGCTATGGGATATGTTTGTTAGTTGGGGAAGCTGTTTGTTAGTTGAGGAAGCTGTTTGTTAGCTATGGGATATGTTTGTTAACTATGGGAACTGTTTGTTAGCTATGGGAACTGTTTGTTATCTATGGGAACTGTTTGTTAGCTATGGGAGCTGTTTGTTAGTTCTGGGAGCTATTTGTTAGCTATAAGAACTGTTTGTTACTTGTGGGAACTGTTTGTTAGCTATGGGATAGTTGTGGGCGCTGTTTGTTAGCTATGGGAACTGTTTGTTAGTTGTGGGAGCTGTTTGTTAGCTATAGGAACTGTTTGTTAGTTGTGGGAACTGTTTGTTAGCTATGGGAACTGTTTGTTAGTTGTGGGAACTGTTTATTAGCTATGGGAACTGTTTGTTTGTTGTGGGAGCTGTTTGTTAGCTATGGGATATGTTTGTTAGTTGTGGGAGCTGTTTGTTAGCTATGGGATATGTTTGTTAGTTGTGGGAGCTGTTTGTTAGCTATGGGAACTGTTTGTTAGCTATAGGAACTGTTTGTTAGTTGTGGGAGCTGTTTGTTAGTTATGGAATATGTTTGTTAGTTTTGGGAGCTGTTTGTTAGCTATGTGATATGTTTGTTAGTTGTCGGAGATGTTTGTTAGCTATGGGAACTGTTTGTTAGCTGTGGAAACTGTTTGTTAGTTGTGGGAACTGTTTGTTAGTTGTGGGAGCTGTTTGTTATTTATGGGAGCTGTTTGTTAGTTGTGGGAACTGTTTGTTAGCTATGGGAACTGTTTGTTAGCTATGGGAACTGTTTGTTAGTTGTGGGAACTGTTTGTTAGCTATGGGAACTGTTTGTTAGTTGTGGGAGCTGTTTGTTAGCTATGGGATATGTTTGTTAGTTGGGGAAGCTGTTTGTTAGTTGGGGAAGCTGTTTGTTAGCTATGGGATATGTTTTTAACTATGGGAACTGTTTGTTAGCTATGGGAACTGTTTGTTAGCTATGGGAACTGTTTGTTAGTTGTGGGAGCTGTTTGTTAGTTGTGGGAGCTGTTTGTTAGCTATTTGAACTGTTTGTTAGCTGTGGAAACTGTTTGTTAGCTATGGGAACTGTTTGTTAGTTGTGGGAGCTGTTTGTTGTGGGAGCTGTTTGTTAGCTATGGGAACTGTTTGTTAGTTGTGGGAGCTGTTTGTTAGCTATGAGAACTGTTTGTTAGCTGTGGAAACTGTTTGTTAGCTATGGGAACTGTTTGTTAGCTATGGGAACTGTTTGTTAGTTGTGGAAGCTGTTAGTTCTAGGAGCTGTTTGTTAGCTATGGGATATGTTTGTTAGTTGTGGGAGCTGTTTGTTAGCTATGGGAACTACTTGTTAGTTGTGGAAACTGTTTGTTAGCTATGGGAATTGATTGTTAGCTATGGAAACTGTTTGTTAGTTGTGGGAGCTGTTAGTTGTGGGAGCTGTTAGTTGTATAGGATTTGGTGGTTGTGAGAAAGTTTTTTTTTTTTTTTTAAAGTTTTTTTAAATATATATTGGTATGTAATTCTGTTATCCCTCTTTCATTTTTCTTACTTCTTTTCTCGCTGCCTACATCTCTCCACATCTCTTGCTCTCTCTCTCTCACTGTCTGTCTTTCTTCTTTTTTCTTCCCCTCTCTTCTGTCTGTCTGTCTCTCTCCATTTTCTCTCTCTCTCCCCCCCCCCTTCCCCCCTTTCTCAGTTTATCAGATCTGCTGCAAACATTTTAAAAACACTGCTTTTTGCTTTTCTCAACACAGATCCAGTAGAACTTTTCCAAGAAGTTTCTCAACAGTTTCATTTTGTCACGGACTTGAATCAGCCCTTAGTGTTAGATTGTGGCGTTACCGATCCCACCATAAAGGTAGGAAGGAGTTTATATAAACTGTGATTATAAGAAGACAAAATCTGTTATATGTTAAATTCTGAAATCTTTTTTTTTTTTTTTTTAAATGGTTCACTCTGTCTATTTCCCTTGAAGTCGGAGTACATCTGCCGGAAAGGCAGGGATCAAGAACTGCAAACAAATAAGCCAGTAAATCGGATGTGCGCGCAAAACTCAGGTCAAGGTAAAAGCCAAAAGTCCAGTTGGATGAACAACCTGACTTACCGCTGGAATTCACAGCCTGGGCCTTTATCTTTAAGAAACTGAGTAGTGTAGGGGCTAGACTGTTCCCTGCTGCCTGAAAGTCATGGTTTTAAATCTGCACAAGTCTCTGTGTGTGAGTTCCAGGGCTTTATTTTGAAGGTTTGAAGGGAAAAGGGTGGGGGGGGGGGGGGGGGAGATAGACTCACTGCCCTTCACAAGCATGACATAAAAGGCAATTAATTAGGAGTTTTCCTTCAAAGTTGGTTTGCATCTGTCTGAGATATGAAGAACCAACAGTCTGCATACAGATAAGCACGATCTGTAAAACAGCATGCAAGTTCTGAAAAAAAAGACCAAAGTTCAGAGTTGAACGACAGCCACAACTTTCTGCTGGAGTTTACGACGGGTGAACGCTAAGAAAAATAACAATTTGTTACAATTAATGTATAACACACACAATAGTAATTTGACATAAATGTAACATAACTCTTGACCCGTTAAAGTCGTAGAGGTGTATCAGTGGAAGCACGAGCACACAAAACCCACCATCTTTCTCTGTCATCAGCTTGTATCATAACTTAGTCTTGTCCATTTCTTGATGGAGTCATTCCAGAATCTTCTTTGCCCTCCTCTTGTTCGACTCCCCCCCTCCCCCAATGAATTATGTCTCCAGCTTGCCACGTTTCACCACTGCCAAGAGAGGCTCCTGATGTCCTGCATGTTAACTTTCTCTCCGACATATTGGTTAGTTTTATTTTCTAAAAAACTAATTTGTAAAAACAATAAATAACAAGGTTACAGATCCAATATTGAAATAGAAAACAGAACTATGTATCCCCATTTTAATCCAGATGGATTCACAGGATGTCATTGTTTCAGTAACAACGGCATTGTCAAAACCCAGACTACTCGAGCCATATGAACTCTTTCAGTCCCACATGGTGTTGACTTCAACAGTCTCTATGTGAAAGTTTGTATATCCTTGAGAAACATTTTAGTCTCATAGAGCTGAAAATACGTTTGTTTTCACTTTCTCTCAAAAAAGAGAGGGGGGGGAGTGACGGGAGTTTCTGGCGGATGCTCGAGGCTCAGAGGAAAGGCAAGACGGACGTTTAATCAGAATGCTACTGTCACCATTAGTATCGAACTCTTCGCTGGCTGCTGAAGTTGGGGACGGAGCACTTATGGGAATGCCCCGAGTGCTGTGATATCGGTTCTTGAATCGAATCAATGCAATCTCAAAAAAGATGAAATTAGATTGTGGTTCCTAATCATTGTCGTATTCTGATTCAGGTGGATCTGTTTGCAAATGGCATGAGTAAGACACAAGAGCAGGATGTGTTATGGGACCCCAGGACAGGCTTCAAGGTGTTGTTGCCTAGCTACGAGTATTCTACCTCTCTGTCATGCACTGCTTACACCAGCAAGGTGAATCAGACCAGAGATCTGATCGTCCACTTCCACATCACTGGATCTGTTGGTAAGTTCTGAAGATTGTCCATGTCGTGTGAGGTCAGGATGGTTATTGTCGACTAGATAGATATTTGTAGTGCACTTTTGCTCACCTGCCGGCCCAGAGATCTTAGGTTTGAATCCTCATTGGGTCAGATTCACCAGTTGACCTTGGTTTCTAGGTTGACAGCCTTAAATTGGTAAGGTAGACTACTGGCATGTTGACCACTTTGCCTCCCAAGTGCCGATTTGTCCTTAAAATATAAATCTGGTACTAAATGCCCATGTTGGTTCCAAGGCCCTACTGTGGGGAAAAACAAGAATACATCTATTGCCTTCCCAACAAGCATTTCAAAGGAGTTGACTAATCCGGGCATCCTTAGAAGTCGGAAACCAAAAGTCTGCATACAAATAAGCCAGATCTGTAAAACATATGTGCAGGCAAAACTCAAGATCTGCAGCAAAACTGGTCTAGAAATGTATGAACAACAGTAACTTTCTGCTGGAGCTTACAGCTGGGCTAATGCAAAGAACAAGAAGAAGAATCGAGAACTGAATAAAGAGATTTAGGGTTTTTCAAATTTATGGATACACTTTCATTCATGTATATTTTGCTTGAATATACATTGCATATTATCAATATACAAATGAGAGAGAGAAAGGTTGTAAAGCTTACAAACTTGCAATAGAAGGTTATAGATCATGGCTTTTCAACTGGCAGCCCGCAAGCCAGACCTGGCCAGCAGAGGCCTAGCTAGTGGCCCGCGGATGAATGCCAGTTGTATTGTATTCTTGATCTTTCTATTCTGGGGCTGGGGCCTCTGGTCTGTGACGATCCCCATTTTCAAAATTGTGGCCCTTGAATTTTTTTTTTTTAAACGTATCCAGAAACCATGAGTTGTAAACCCTTTGGCTCGGTACTATGGATATCGCAAACCCTTCGGCATTGATTCGTTTATAGGTACCGTTAATCTGGGAGAAATGTGGCTTTTCTGCCTACCCCCGGGAGTGAACCCGGTCCACAAGGAGTTCGTCACCCGGCCGCCGCGAAAGTCAGGTTTAACCAACTTCGCTAGAGAGCCGGGCGAAGGCCCTTGAATAAACTTAGTTGAATAACCCTGTTATGGATGTTCAGTATGGCCGCTGTCTGCTGCAAGGCGGCCATCTTACGCAGAAATGAACTGAATGGAACTTGATGCCATAAACAGGCGCACTCAAGTGGTTGGTAACGCAACTGCACTTTAGTGGTTGTATTCGAAACTTTAGACCATTCCCTGTCTCTTGTATGTATATTATTTATATGTAATGTAAATTGTGCATGAATGCAAGTGTAACCATCATTTTAAATAACCCTATACTATAATGTAAATGCAGCGTTCGTGGCTCAAGCGTTGCGAGTCCCACTCGTAATTTCAACATACCGTGATCAAAACCCATAGCTGGCTGCGTGGATTTTCATCATGGTATGGGATGTCGCAGGTTGATCTAGTCTAAAATGGGTACCAGGATGTATGTCCTGGGGAAGTAAAGACAGCCAGCGTAATGCTGACCACATTACCCACCTAGTGGCGATTGGTCTGTAAAAAAATATGGGCGCTCTTCTCATATGCCCGATGTACCTAAAGGCGTGAAAAAGAATCTTTACTTTACTTTTACCATAATGTACTTAAATAGATAATGTACTTTAACCAGTTAGTTTACTATATTGTACTTAAATAGATAATGTACTTTAACCAGTTAGTTTACTATAGTGTACTGAAATAGATAATGTACTTTAACCAGTTAATTTACTATAATGTACTTAAATAGATAATGCACTTTAACCAGTTAGTTTACTAAATTGTACTTAAATAGATAATGTACTTTAACCAGTTAATTTAATATAATGTACTTAAATAGATAATGTACTTTAACCAGTCAGTTTACCATAATGTATATCACAGAATACTGGACTCCAGTTCCCTACACAAAGCCCTCAAAATACAATCTGATTGCTGGAGAAAACCTGACCATTACCTGCTGGGTCAAGGTGGTTCAACACTCCATGGTTTACATGGGTTTCATGTATGCCAAGAAAGGGGTAAGAGATCTATTTTGTCTTCTCCTTCTGTTTTGTTTTAAATGTTTTCCATCTGATATTGCAGCCTGAAATTGTGGCATCCATTGACTTAAAGAGTCATGTTTTGGATGTAAATTCAGCAGGAACAATTCCTAAAAATCTTGTTACACTATAAAGCACAGTAAAATGGGCAAGACAGACAGTACAGAGTCATGGAGTATCACTGCCGGGATTTTAAACTAATATTATAAAAGAAGCTATATAATGGATATACACGTGTGGCATCTTAAAATGTTCAGGAAAGTTTAAAGTTCTGTGTAACCTTGTGTGACCATGAGGATTGAAATGACACTGAGAAGGGGCAAGGAACATCCAGCATCTTGAAGAAGGAACAACTGCCACAGATGCAACTGGACACGAATCAGAATATGTTACAAGAGACCATATGCTATCAAGACTTCACCAGAGCTTCAAATAGTGCCCATACCGAAGCATACTAAGCTAAATCTAAAACTAAACTTTCTGACAATTTAAGATGCCATATTTATATGTCTATTAATTACATCTTCTATCTGTGGCTTAGATGCTGCGAACACGCTTTGTAATGCCAGGTACTGGGATTCAATCCCAACTGCGGGCTGTGCATTGGTTTTGACGGTGATATCGAGAAGCCAACCATGCAGAAAGCAATGACAAACTACTGAACATAAATTTGCCTTAAAAAAACCACAATAGCCAAAAAAATGCTGGGGTTAGTTCTGCAACATCCTGTAAAGGATGGATACACAACAAAATTTTCGAACATCCTTTATAATAGACATTTTAAATTCCTGATAATCCTTCTCGATGACTGTATTTGTTTTCCTGCATGTCAGACTCGAATACACACTGACTTTCTGCAGGATATGAACAAAGAAGAGAACCTTTCTCATAAGCAGTACAGTTTCTCAGAACTTAGACTACATCAGCCATTTCAACTCTTTCAGTCCCACATGGCGTTGAATTCAACAGTCTCTATGTTGAAGTTTGGATATCCTTGAGCAAAATTTTAGTCTCATAGAGTTGAAAAATGCTGCTTTAAGAGAGAGGATGCTAAACAACTAAAAATATAGGGTAAAAATAACAGAAGAATGAGATAAATAAAGAAATGTGTTTCATATGCACCTTTTTCTAAACCTATGACCATCCACACTTACAACCACACACACCCACCGATCACACATCTTCACACGCACAAAGTAAAAAAAAGAATCATAACTACATTGGTAGGGTCAAAAAGTTCCTGGAATTGATGAACAAATATATACAATAATTGATGTACAGAGATTGCATTTTTTTTTTGTGTGTTTTTTACAATGTTTGAATAAAAATAGGGAAGAAAATTTGACTTACAGCCTGCTATTGAGGAAAGAAATCAGGCATAAGTTGAGAGACCTTGTATAGTGTTAGCTGTGCGACCCTGTGTAGTATTAGCAGTGAGGCCCTGTATAGTGTTAGCAGTGAGGCCCTGTATAGTGTTAGCAGTGAGGCCCTGTATAGTGTTAGCAGTGAGGCCCTGTATAGTGTTAGCAGTGAGGCCCTGTATAGTGTTAGCAGTGAGGCCCTGTATAAACTTAGCAGTGGGACCTTGTATAGTGTTAGCAGTGAGGCCCTGTATAAACTTAGCAGTGGGACCTTGTATAGTGTTAGCAGTGAGGCCCTGTATAAACTTAGCAGTGGGACCTTGTATAGTGTTAGCAGTGAGGCCCTGTATAAACTTAGCAGTGGGACCTTGTATAGTGTTAGCAGTGAGGCCCTGTATAAACTTAGCAGTGGGACCTTGTATAGTGTTAGCAGTGAGGCCCTGTATAGTGTTAGCAGTGAGGCCCTGTATAGTGTTAGCAGTGAGACCCTGTATAGTGTTAGCAGTGAGGTCCTGTATAGTGTTAGCAGTGAGGCCCTGTATAGTGTTAGCAGTGAGATCTTGCATAGTGTTAGCAGTGGGACCTTGTGTAGTGTTAGCAGTATGACCCTGTATAGTGTTAGCAGTGGGACTTTGTTTAGTGTTAGCAGTGGGACCTTGTATAGTGTTAGCAGTATGACTCTGTATAGTGTTAGCAGTGGGACTTTGTTTAGTGTTAGCAGTGGGACCTTGTATAGTGTTAGCAGTGGGACCTTGTATAGTGTTAGCAGTATGACCCTGTATAGTGTTAGCAGTGAGGCCCTGTATAGTGTTAGCAGTGAGGCCCTGTATAGTGTTAGCAGTGAGGCCCTGTATAGTGTTAGCAGTGAGGCCCTGTATAGTGTTAGCAGTGAGGCCCTGTATAGTGTTAGCAGTGAGATCTTGCATAGTGTTAGCAGTGGGACCTTGTGTAGTGTTAGCAGTATGACTCTGTATAGTGTTAGCAGTGGGACTTTGTTTAGTGTTAGCAGTGGGACCTTGTATAGTGTTAGCAGTGGGACCCTGTATAGTGTTAGCAGTATGACCCTGTATAGTGTTAGCAGTGAGGCCCTGTATTGTGTTACCAGCACTACTGAAAGAAAGAATACCAAAGATAGTTGCTTAGCCATCCGATTATCCTCATTGCACTTCAAAGCATTCAGTCCATAAGTCCAGAGATCCCATCCTCAGTAAATACTGACAGCAGTCCTATGTTGGTTTCTTATTCTTCTTTGGCTTTCTGCATAGTGCTCTTGTCTGGCCACACCCATTTTAATATGCTGTTCCTGCAGTGTGGTCATGTACCAAAAAGTACTCACCCATCAAGTGCTAATTGGTCTTATACAGAATGAGTCTAAGTTATGCTCAGTACATATAATGTTTGAATTGTGATATGTATTCTCTCTTGGACAGAAGTCTGATCGCTTTAACGAGAGCATTCCTTTGAGAGTGAACATAGACAGGTATGACAACATCACACACTCAATGACGGTGAGAAATGTGCAGGTCAGTGACTCTGGCCTTTACACCTGCAACACCACCAAGGACTTCCGGTTGTACGAGAATTCCTCCGTACACATTAGAGTTTATGGTATGTTGGTTGTTGGGAATGCTGTTTGATTCTGTATGGTTACATAATTTGGTTGTTGTTGTAGCTGGATTCCCTGTGAGAAATTATTTCTGTTACTAAATGAATAGATTGCTGTCATTGGTTTAAAAAATTTTAAATTAGTTAGCAATTTTGTTATCCTGATTGAACAGTAAAATTACTCTCTCTCTCTCTCTCACTCTCTCTCTCTCTCTCTCTCTCTCTCTCTCTCTCTGTCTGTCTATCTCTCTCTCTCTGTCTGTCTCTCTCTCTCTCTCTCTCTCTCTCTCTCTCTCTCTCTCTCTATGTGTATGTATGTGTGTGTGTGTGAGAGAGTTTGAGGGGGGTGAGGGGAGGAAGAGATTATCAGATGTAAAAGAAAGGGGTCCCTACCAGCTCTCCCACCTCACATTTTCCTGCCCCAAATGTCTCCTGTCTTTGTGCTCGTCAGCCCCTGCACTTCTTACACACTACCATGTCCTCTGTTACTGCTCTTTTTAGTCCATCAAATGTCTGAGGTATTTCAGGTTCCAAGACAAAATGCTGCCTACAAATCAGTTTTCCTTGATTTTCTGGAACAAATATTTCTTTTCTTCTTGGTCATTAGTATTAGAAGAATCTTACCACAGCATTTCAGCTCAGGTTTTTCCCCCCCTAATGATTGGCAGATAATCCATGACTCATATTCATATGTTACTACAGCAAAGATGCATGCTCTCACTATTTTGACTTGGACTTGTAGTGCTTAGCCAAGGCATTGAATACCTAGTTAAAACGAGTCTCAGAGGTGAAGTGGTCAAATCATTTGCCTCCACACTCTAAAGGTTGTAGGTTAATTTCATGGCTTTGTCTTTCAGTTCACAAGTCCAGTTTTTACAGAGATATTCTGGGATCATTGGTAGAGCTGTGAAGTTTGTGTGACACTGTTGGCAAGTGGCTAGTTGCTATGCAATAGATACATGCCGTATGAGATCAAACCTGGAACAGTGAAGTCGATCCTCCTGACTTTTAACTTTAACCTAGGTATATAGTACTGTCCACTGGAAAATTGGAAGCAGAAATGCAACACAGGTGCAGTAAAGCAAGCCACATCATTGGATAGATGTCTTTAGTAATGCAGAACAAATGTGTAATAATTGACACTGTTCAGTACAGTTTTTTTTTTTTTTAAACCGACATTGTGCTACCAATTCCAGACATGAACATTAACAACAAAAAGTTAACACATTAAACCGAAATTTAATGGCTATACAAAATCCTAAATATAAAAAAAAAGAGATAGGGTCTGAATTGATGTTATCAGGAAACAAACTGGTATAGAACCAGTGCTAAACTACACTAAGAGAAATTCCACAGGTCAGATGGTTTGGCCATGTGTCCTGACAGCCAGAGAACACTTCACGCAGAGATCCCTCTCAGATACAATGAAAGGGTGCAGCCAGTGTTGAGTGGCAGGCTCAGCATATGGATGTAAGGTTAAGTGGTCATGTGCAGGATGTGATGATTCCTTGGAGGAGGCCAGGATCAGAGCATCATGTGTCAACTCTGCATTTATGGAGGCCTTCTTGGATGGTGGGGAATGCCCATGATTTGCCTCTGCCTTCCCAGGAAGGCCGGCCAGTCTAAACGTGGTTGCCCTGGATCAGCTCTACAAGGGCAGCACTCGTAGATAAAGGGAAAAAGTAGCCACCAAACAAATATGGCTAAATCATGTCCCAGGAAACCAATTGGGAAGACTAATCCAGTGATCAAATGCCCATTGAAGTTAGACATGTCGGCTGAAAGGCTGTGCTATAAATTGACACACAACACTGTTACATCACTTGGACAATTAATGATAAAGAAGATACACTAGAGCAGAGCTTGTGATTGCTTGAGACTATGAATACCAGCATCCACATAGCACACACCAAGACTTGCACCAGCTCTTTGGGCCACTTTCTGTCAAGCATCTTACTCCTGTGCCTGACCACATGTGAACACAGTGCGTCTGCTGTTCAGAAGTAGATGGAGATTGTCACACCACACCAGACAGCTTTTTAACAAAAATTTATTTAGTGTCCATTTATGTGCTGGTGAAGACTTTTCAGTACAGTGTTGATTTAGACATTCCTGATTGTGATATTCAGACGTTGACTAGTTCTGATTGTTATTTGGACTGGTTTTTTTTTTGGGGGGGGGGGGGGGGGGGGGGGGGGGGGGGGGGGGGGGGGGGGGGGGGGGGGGGGGGGGGAACAACATTGAAGCCTGTCATTGAAAATCATAATATAACATGAAAAAAAAATGAACAAGATATTTTCCCATTTGTTATCCAGTTAAATTAATGACTCCACTGGAGGGGGGGGGGGGGGTAAAAGTAAAACCACTGCCTCCAACAACCATGTAATAAGAGTTGACTAATTGGGGTTGTTTCCATGTTTCCATCAAAGTCAGAGAGCAAGGAGGCAACAGTGCATATAAGTAAGCCAGATCAGTAAAACAGATGTGCGCACAAAACTCAAGTTACGGAACAAAGCAAAAGTCTTGAAATGGACAAACCAGAACTTTCCATCAGAGTTTACAGCCGGTGAATGCTGGGAAAAAGATGTTTATATTAGATTTATTTTACAATATAACTTATTGACCTCTTTTAATATGTTCTTTTTTTTTTTTTAAAGACAAGCCATTTGTAAATTTAACGGCCAAAAGCAGTTCAGTAATCGTACGAGAGCTGCGACATCCCGCTATGCTAAGTGTGGATATTTTTGCTGTTCCTGCACCAGTGGTTGAATGGTTTTTCGAAGGGGAGAAAATTGATACCTCCAGCGGGTGAGTGTTGATACTTGTTATATCTCGTTTGATTGTACAACTTACCATGGGTGTCTAGGGTTAAGCATATGATTCTTTTGTTTACATAATGCAGGATTTTTTCCTCTTAATTGCCACTTTTAAGCAGTGTCATTTGTGTATTCTGGTTAAAAAGATTAAGTCTATCCTTTTGTTTCATTTTAACCATTGCAATTGTTTCAGTATCTTGAATGGAATCCAGCCCAGCACCTTTGGCGTCTTTCATCACTGTCAAATGAGGGTTTCTTTTGGATGTCCTCAACTCCTCAGTCCATTTGTTTCCCATTTAAATGTCTATTTGGTGATACTCTGTTTGCTTCTCCCCAGGATATGTCAAATTTATTGACATCTTCTTGTGTAGCATTATATGTTGATGTAGCATGCATGGGAATGCCCCGAGTGCTGTGATGTCAATTCTTGACTCAGCTCAACTCATGTTGATTTAACCTCTGTACTGATGACGAGATAAGTAAAATATTACTTGTTTCTTGTTGTCTGTATCAGCACCCTAGCACATCAGTCCAGTCCATTCCTGTTCCGTCCTTCCATGCAGCAGCCATTTCAGTGACTCTGTGCTCACTTTACCCAGTAGTTGATTAGCTTATCGTCTTTCTTTGCCCTACATCCGGTTTCTGCATGCATGTTCTCGTTTGATACCCATTTCCAACATGTGGTTCATCATTTCTGACTCCTTTCTTTAAACATCTTTGGAATGCAGCGTATTTATTACAACAAAATATGCCAGGCAATAAACTATGCATTATGCAATGTGTTCTTCATGTCCACATTATTTGAATTCACAATGGAAAAAACATGGTTTTCAATTGTATATATTAATGAACTAACAGAAAATATATTGATCGGCACTCATAGAAAGAAGTAGAAAGATAGATGAACACACTAGACAACATACAAATTGAAAGCCATAGTTACTGTGCCGGGAATCGAACCTGTCACCTCCAGACGGCGTTTTCATTTCACCATGGAAACAACTGCACTAAGAACATGGTCAACTAGGCACCCCCCAAAAAGGTGTCTAATTGGCCATGTCTGTCATACAGTTTGAAATCCACAACTTTGGAATATGGACAGAATTCATTTCAAACCATTGAAATGGCACCATAGGTTACAGAAATTTATATTAACAAAACATAGGTCGAAAAACAAGCGCAGCAACAATTTACGAACACAGTAGACCTATATGTTTTGTCTAGAAAACACAAACATTTAAGAAAGGTATTTGATTGGCAGGTTTTTCAATTTTACAACTGTGTCAGTTTTTACTCTAGTATAAATCAGCTCTTTTGTTGCAGATAAATGTTCATTATATCAGTTGCGTCTTTTTTTCTGTTTGTCTCAGATTTTCAATTTCAGTAAGAGTTAAATTGTTATGCCCTAAACAATGCACATAATGGACAGCTGTTATCTGCATACACCCAGAAAAGCATAACCTGATTGGTCTCAGCTTATTATAAATACCAAGCTAGTTATTTTTAACATCACCATCCAGTTGTTTCATTATATGCTGTTTTTTCCTACAGTCCTTTATGTCCTGAATTCCAGAGAAATTTGACTAAAAAGCTCAACAAAATAGGAAAAAGGAAAACGTGCACAAAACAACACAACGTAACGTTTCGACCGGGCGGCCTTTTTCAAACAGAAGTGGACTATACAAACGAGGAATGGAGAGTATGTAGATCTCTAAGGGGTGACGTGAGCGACGTTTAAAAAATGTGATGCGGAATAAATAAAATAAAATAAAATAAACGATGGCTAAAAAATATAGTCACAATACTGGGAATACATACTCTCCATACTCTCCATTCCTCGTTTGTATAGTCCACTTCTGTTTGAAAAAGGCCGCCCGGTCGAAACGTTACGTTGTGTTGTTTTGTGCACGTTTTCCTTTTTCCTATTTTGTTGAGCTTTTTAGTCATATTTCTCTGGAATTCATTGTATTAGCTTGACTGCAGTCACCCCCATAGTTTCATCCTTTATGTCGTGTGTGGTTATTTTAATAGACAACAGACTATATGTTGAATAAAATATAACATGAAGGGCGCGCAACTCATGTGCTCACTTTTCCATGCATCAGCAAAAGGCTGTCAAAAATCTTCTCTCATCTTCTTCCTCTGTTTTTCTTTCCCTAATTTTTTTCCAGTCATCAAATGTTATTT